CAGTAAATTAACACAGGAGGAGGAAACTAAATACTGCATCTTCTCACTTATAAGTGGCAGCCAACTGATGAGAACACATGAACACATCGGGCTGGGGTACAACACACACTGGGGCCTGTGGGAGGTTGGGTGTGGGAGGAGGGACAGCAACAGGAAGAATAGCTGATGAATGCTGGGCTTAATAACTAAGTGATGGGATGATCTGTGCAGCAAACCACCATGGCAACGTTTACCTATGTAATAAACTTGCACATCTTACACATGTACCCCTGAAATTAAAAGTTGGATATAAAAAAAGAAACTAAAGGGAAAAGAAGAAAAGTATATATGCATGTATGCAATGAACAAAAACATAACAGAAGTAATACCATGCAAGCACAAAGTTCATTCAACCACCAGACTTTGAGTGGAGTAAGGAAATAGCACTGAAGTTCCTTCTTCCCAAAACAGGGCTGCTCTCTGAAAGTTTATTCATAAAATTCACCATGTAACCGGTGGATCTGCCCTGTGTATAAACAAACCAAGAGATTCCTTGTGAATGTATAACAGAAGAGCTCATGGACTCCCAGAAATCCTGTCAAGGTGATCCATGTGTAATCTCAGGGAACGAAGGGCTGGAAAATGATTGCAAATTAGTAAACTGAAACCTAATCAATTGAGCTGTGTCTTGTGTGGAGAAAGCCTGTGTGCACAGAATGGGGATGGTCACCCTGAGACCTACTGAGGACAGTGTGAAGACTCAGGGCCTGGCGGTGTGATTCCAGCACAGTCCAGAGGAGGCTTCACAAGCACCAGCTTCCATTCTTGAGAGAGATGCTGTCGGCAGGTGGGAGACCCGTGTTGGAGCACAGGAGACGTTGGTGGTTATAGGCACATGCTTTGGCATCTAAATCTGTGTCCAAATCCTGGCCTTTCTAGGAAATAAAAACAAAATTCCAGATGTCATCCAGTCCCCCTCACCCACCCCTGTGTGGAGCACAGGGAAATGGATGTTATCCTCGTGTAGACTGTATATCTGACCACTCAATGCCTGAATTTGCTTTGGTTGGCAGCCAAATGACCCTTAAGCTCATTTAAAGCTTCTTGTTACCTAATCTCCTCGGCCTTTTTTTTTTAATCTGGAAGTCTTGAGAAAGAAAGCAAAAGAGAAATAATTGCTCCTTAAGCAAAGGTAAGATAGAATTATCAGCAAGCATCAGTGCAGCACTGCAGACTTGAAGAGCTGCTTGCAGGCATCTTACTGGCCATTCCTCCTTTGCAGCCATAAGAAACGAAAAACATCATGTACCCCACTCAGGAGAAGCGGGTGTGGAGTCTCTTGAGGTTAATCCACTCAGATTCGCACATGGGCTTCAGAGGGAGCTGAGTTCTTGAATTCTTCCTGTAATTTTCTGTTTGTCTACCATATATAACATTTTATTTGCTACTTCCAAGTGACTGAAAGAGGAAAGGACACAAAAGAGGGGAAAAAAAAACCCATTGTATTTTTTAATAGTTAAGTCACCCAAATTATATACTAAAATAAACTTACCAAGCAGCAGTTAACCAAAATTGGTTGATGAAAATGAATGGCAGTCTGTGACATTTCATCAGACTTGAATGATATCCCCCCATCACTCTGCCACTCTAAATTTGGTGAAATACCAAGATTCAGATATTTAAACTTAGAGAAACCACATTGACTAATTCTGTACCATACCCTTGCTCTTGAGAATAAGTTTTTTTCTTGCCGCATGTGTTTTATTATTTTTTAGGTAATACTAACATGTTTTTTAAGGATCATATGCCTATTCCATGTGCCCTTATAGGCTCCATACATGAGAATGTCTGGCCGCTCTGTTCATGCATTCTGGTTGTGGGGTGCCGTTTCTTTTTTTTTTTTTTTTTTGAGATGGAGTCTCGCTCTGTAGCCGAGGCTGGAGTGCAGTGGCCGGATCTCAGCTCACTGCAAGCTCTGCCTCCCGGGTTCACGCCATTCTCCATCCTGGCTACCATGGTGGGGTGCCGTTTCTTATTCTCCTTTTATATATTCTTTGTATGTCGTGTTTGTATTTCAAACTTCAATGAGAATTTCCATAACTATGTATTGAATCTCTACTATGTGCAAGTTGGTGTGTTCATTGTTTTATATCTATTATCCCCTTTGATTAATATAAAAATATCAAATTGTTAGTATTATTATTATTATTATAACCATTTAAAACATAAGAAAACTGAGCCCCAGAGTGGCCTCACTGATGTTATACAACTAGGGTGTTGAGGTGCACGGATTCAACTTATGTCGTCTGGTCCCTGTGACAGGTTTTCCTACTACATACAAAACAGTCATCTCTCAACTATACTTAGGAAGGGCCTTGTGCATTGCTCCAAAGGAAGTGAAAGTTTGCAGAGTTCTTACCCTTGGCATGAAGAAAGCAAATCTACAGCTATAGACTCCTTGCCTATCAATAGGTACCACTATCATTTGCATCATTTTATTGTGACTAAAACCCACCATGACAATCACCACTACCCTCACCACCAATTGTCCTACCCATTGTTTTGAAATGTTGGAATCATACCTGTCACTCACAAATTTAATTAAATCCAATCATATTCCTAATATGACCTTAAACGCAGGAATAAATATGCAAATTCCCTTTGATGGCTCCATTGCCTATAGGCTCAACACAGCCTTCACATGCAGTTTATTGGTCCAGTCAATGTGGATTCCCACTGTAATTTTTTAAAGAAATTTAAATTTCATTGCCAATATTCAAAAACTGAAAATTTTTTACATTAATATTCTAGCCTGGCTCTTTGGTCTCATATTACAGAATGGCATAATTTCCTGTTGCTAATGAGTAATACAGGCCTGCTTTAGTTGGAACACCTACTTTATACTTATCTCTCTTTCCCCCTGACACTGAGATTGTGTGTCAATTTCCATTTATTACTAACACAAAGCCGGATTCACATACATTTTGATCTGCTTGGCCCCTGTAGGCATTTAAATTTGTATCTGTTTCTGTTGCATTAAATAACTTTAGAGAGAAATTTACTTTAAGTTTTCAGGTAAAAAGTATTCTTAGTAATGTGCCTTGCATCATCAAACTAAATATGATTTTTTTTCCTCTGTTATTTGGAAGAGGATTTTATTCTTAGAGTGCTATTTTTAGATCTCAACACTTTGACACAAAAACATCAAATTTTTGTAGACAAGATGCCAGAGAGTATAGGAAAGGCAGTCGCTGGCATTGATAGGCAGACTTTAGAAACTACTATTTTCACCTTGAAAATGGAAATGGAGAGGCATACAATTCTATAGCAGTACAGAATTTCTTCAGGAGAGGACTTGGGTTTGTTCTTCATTCCACTTCGGCTGATTGGCATTTGCTTTGAAATCTCTGCCTGAAAAGATATTGGAATGTGGAGACTGAACTTCATCCCTGTGTCTATGCAGCATTCATAGATGTACTTTCAAGCTGAGACAAAAGCCTTATTCTGTATCCTTTGAATGGCCTCTAAGTGCAGGTATTCGAATCGAATTGTAGATATTGTACAGTACGTTTCTTTACATTTTCCATTTGCTAGATCTGTCGGAACATGTGTACAGGTGAATATTTGACTTATTCATAATTAAGATGAATTAATATGTTTTTCTCCATTTTCATGAGTTGGATAATAAATCTGAAAATTTAATTTTCTACATGTGCTGTGTCATATAAGCTCTCCAATGCAGAATCATAGGTGGATGCATAAAAAGATGAATTGACTTGCCTGGGGCCACAGAGTAGTTCAGGAACAAAGAAGAGAACTAAAATAAGTGTCACTGCCACCATTTTTGAGCGTTTACCATAGATCAGGCACCATGCTAAGTGACTACATAATCTCTTTTAAACCTATCAGTCATTGTGATGTAGATGTTATCTCCATTTTAAAATTGAGCACACTAAATATCTCAGAAATGAAATTATTTGCCCAGTCTAACATAGCTAGGACCTCGGGACTGAGATTCCAGAACACATTTGTATGCTTCTAAAACTATGTCCTTAAAGACCTGGGGTAGATCCTGGGGATACCAAGAATGTGACGTTGTCCCTGCCTCTTCTGTGGTGTGAGGTATGACCTTAGGCTAGCTATCTAATATCTCTCAGCCTCAGTTTCCTCATTGGTAAGTGGGCATAATGACACCTAAGGCATAGTATTTTTATTTATTTATTTTTTTGGCAGGGGGGAAGTACCTATCCCCTAGTATAACTGCCTCAAAACAGTTGTACATTCAATGCTAGTTTCCTACATCCAATTTTCCCTTCTCAGCCAAATGATGTGGCCCTTACCATGAGTCCAAAAACACCACCGTCAACAAAAGGGGAAAACATTTCCAATGGCTTATCCTATTCTTTCTGAACTTTATCCAAAGATGATTAGTCAATATTTTATTTGCATGGTTAACAAAAACAAAGTCAGAGTCATTAACTACCGAGATGTTTAAGAACAAAATGAAAAGCAAGGAAGCAGTAACTGTAAAGCACCTCGAGTTAAAGGGTGGTAAAAAATAGATAAAGTTGACTAAAACCTGTCGGCAGGTGGCTGAAACAAGTCCTTGGAGTGATTTTTGAGTGGAATTTGTGATGGCTGTTTTCAAGTTAGTTGCTGAGATAGCTGATCTCTTTATGGGAATGAGAGGTGAGGTTTAATGTCACATTAGCACACTTTGAGCAGGTGGTCTGCTCTTAGCCACCAAAAGCAGCAGCAATCTTTGTAAACTATCCATTTCTACAAGCACACGTGGGGAAGATGGAAAATTCACTTGTTTTTGGAAGCCAGCCATGGGTTTTGTAATTCACATTCCTTTCCTTCACACACACTTAGGCGATGAAAGGCCTTCTGTGTTCCCCCTCTCTTCCCCTACCCTGCTGCAGCTACCCAAATCACTTCTGAAAAGAGGGGTCATGGAAAAGAGTCCCTAGATGATCCACATTTTGTCCTCTTTTTTTTCTTAAATTTATGTTTTGCAGGACAAATGATACTGGCTTTCTTTCCTTCAAAGACCACTTGCCTGTCACTCAGATAGTTATCACTGATACCGACAGATCAAACTCAGAAGCCGCTTGGAGAATTGGTCCCTTGCGTTGCTATGGTGACCGTGAGTACTAAATCGAAAGAAGCTTTCTCTCTGCATTACATGAGCGCAAGATGTTTTTACTCCCTTATCCCTTTTCCCTGCAGTGTGCCCTAGTCTTGAAAATTACCCACATACCCAGTGCTTTCCCCTACCCCATTGAAAACGATAAACCATGTTGAAGGATTTTCTCATTTGCAGGACGCTTCTGGAACGCCGTCTCATTTTACACAGAAGCCTCTTACCTCCACTTTCCTACCTTCCATGCGGAATTCAGTGCCGATATTTCCTTCTTTTTTAAAACCACAGCATTATCCGGAGTTTTCCTAGAAAATCTTGGCATTAAAGACTTCATTCGACTCGAAATAAGCTGTAAGTGCCCTCAATTATGAATTTAAAGTAACTGATCAACAAACAAGTTTTAGTCTTGTTTTTGCCACCAATCGCTAGTGGGCATTTGTACCAGCAAATTAATCTCACTGGACATCTGTAAAATTAGCAGTGATAATGTCTAGTTTCTTCTGATGCTTTATGATTTATTATGACCTGTCAGTATTTAATCAGTCATTCTCTCATCAAAACATGGGCATTCCGAAAATTCCCACAGACACCTATTACAGTTTCCAAAGATATCTCTTACCTGTGACTTTAATCTTCCACACTACAGGACTTTTTTCATGACACTTTCCATGCAAAGCTGAAAAGAGGATTATTATGCATTCTATTCATATTTGGAGTCTACTTTTTGTTTTACCTTTGTTCCAAAAGTAATTTCCTGACTTATTTCCCACCCTAGGAGCCTGTGACTATCCAATCAGAATTGTCATGGTTTCTCTATCACTTCCCCATGAACAGTGGCGTACCTAATAAACTCGATGCCAGGACGTGGATCACCTTTTAGTCTGCATACCTTGCATATAAACTATATTCAGTAATAATCATGACATGCAATGAAAAATGATAGGAATACAGATGGTGAAATTTCCTATATTTAAACATTTTGTATATAATCATACTAATGAAACAATATTCCAATACCAATAAAATACAATTTAAAAAAATTACACCAAGTCATATTTTTAATAAAAAGGGAGAAAGCATACGTACATATTGCTCTGTTGCGATCCTAGTAACATTAAAATTTATATTTCTGAGTCTCTACTTCTTGAAATTTGACATTGACTTCATAAAATTTAAGTATTTTCTTATGTTCATGTTCAAAAGAGAGTATGCTCGTGTCGATTTATCTCATATTGAGAAAATAATACTTTCTATTAATTTTAGTTTGTTTCATATGAAGCAAGAGCTATACAAATAAGTAAGGTTTTAAACTTCATAATATATTTGTTAAAAACTCATAAAAATTTCATTTTATACTAAATTCTGTAAATTCTAGTACTGTCAATGTTGTTACTTCAGGATTGATTCTAGAAACTTCCAAATGTCTCTGCAAGCAAAAAAATTCCACTAAAATAATTTTGACAGAAAATTCATCATAAATTTCTATTTTATTAGGTAAAAAGTTACCATATTCCTAAGAATTTGAAATTGCTTGGGTCCTAATAGGGTGCAAATTTTGTCTCAAAGCTCTGTGGTTCCATGTATTCATGTATTGAACATTAGATTTGAGTTAAACAATGCTAGCACAGTAATTATACAGATGAAAAATGAGAACTGGAGTTCTTATTCTTAAAAATAAACAAATATATTTGAGTCTGTATTTTTAGGAGACAATGGTAAATCTAGAGTTCTCTGTATTAAGTTTCCCTCAGAATATAATATTTATTAAGCAGAAAAAGATAAAACATACTAATTTGAAGTTTATACATACATTGTTAAAAATTAGCAGTAGCATTATATGAACAAAATACATTTGTTTATTTTTAAGAGTAAGAACTCAAGTCCAGGTGCGGTGGCTCACACCTGTAATCCTGGCACTTTGGGAGGCCTAGGCAGGAGGATTGCTTGAGGTCAGGAGTTCGAGACCAGCCTGCCCAACATGGTGAAACCCTGTCTCCACTAAAAATACAAAAATTATCCGGGTGTGGTGGCAGGTGCCTCTAATCCCAGCTGCTCGGGAGGCTGAGGCAGGAGAAACGCTTGAACCCCAGAGGCAGAGGTTGCAGTAAGCCGAGATTGCACTACTGTACCCCAGCCTGGGTGACAAGAGTGAAACTTTGTCTCAGAAAAATAAATAAATAAATAAATAAATAAAATAACAGTAGCTTCAGCATCTATTGAAACAGACCAACAAACGATTTATTTGGTGAAGGAATGTTTTATCACTAACATTGTTTAGAATTACTTGTGTATGGTAGTAATTTTTAAAAAGATGTATTTTTAGTGACTTTTGCTATTGTTTTAGGTTCTCTGCACTGAGTGCACTTTTTATTACTTATACACGGGGTAGGCTATAGCCAGCACCTTGCCTGTGTTATTCCTGTGAACATAAAGACTCAGGCTTGTCATTAGGTGCCCTATGTATGTGTGTCTAAATGAATGTTTTCCTGTAGTTTGATTGAGGCCATTGACCATATGACTATAATGATGTGACTGCACGAAATACCCTTGAAAGTATAAGTAATGTCTTCACAACAGAAATTGGAAATTTGAGAGCTCCAGAAAAGGAGAAAAAAAAAAAATGACTGGAGGAGATGGCAGAGGTGTTTAAGTCTCCTGCAAATTACCAAGCAGCTAAGTGTTTCTTTTGCAGTTACCGCACAATACGTACAAGGAAAAAGATCTTCTTAATTGGTAGTTTTAATCTCCTTTTACTCCAACTATTGAGACTATTAATGGGAGGAAGCTCTTGTGGCTTTGGTGTGAAACAAGATCCCTCACACCTAACATGACCAGTCTCTAAAAATGTTGAGTTGAATGCCAACAATTTCATAATTTGGGTATAATAACTTCAATGTAAATTTAATAAAAATTAGGCCCCATGGCCTTTTGATTCATTAAAGCAGCAACAAACATCATGGTATGTTATTACAAGGTAATGACCAATGATTTAGTGTTAATTACATATCAATGTCCAATTTGTTTGTACTTTGTGCTACTGTATTTTTCCCTTTGGCTTATGCAAGATTGTTTTTAACGCAGGTTAGAATTACATTTGACAAAAATCAAAACCCACTGAGGTAATTATTTGGTACATAATATATCACCAGATTGGAGAACATATACTTTCCAAGACAAGATTTTATATAAAAACATTGAGAAGTTCAAGATCTTATAGTTCTCAAAATATTTGTTATTATTAATATTTAAAAGGGGAAAAGACCAAAGTGGGACGGAAACATCTTGCATTCTTTATTTACAGCGACACTCGTATTACGCATTTTTGGCAGATGGAATTTTTACCCTAAAGGGTTCATAGCAAGAAACATCCACAGACCAGGCACTTGGAAAGGAAATGGCCTTTTAACAGATGCAGTTGCTCAGAATAGATTTCCCTCCCATCCCCAAGGAGTGTTCCTCTAAAACTATCCGAGCAGCAGTTTCCAAGGTTGATATATCCAAATTGTTGGACAGGGAACAGTAGATTTCCATGAAATTTTCAATCCATTTCCTTCCAGCCTGCTTTCAAAGATATTTGAATTTTGTAGCCCATACTCTATGAAAAAGAAGACACGCCACTGTGTTGGCAAGTCTTAGTGAATGTGTTTTAGTGGGCCTGTGGAAACAATAACTGTTTTGATACTTATCTCACAATGGCTGTACAGGTAGAAATTGATATTTTAGAGTAGATGAGAAGATCAGAAGGAAATGGTTTTTGAGAGTCAGTCTGGCATAGTGGAAAGAAGCTAGACTAGAACCCAATGTGGATTCAAACTTTTGTTCTTCCAAGTGGGTTTGTGAGCTGCCTTGAGCAAGTTTTTCTCCCTTCCTATGCTTATTTATGCAACATGGGGTTGGTGACATCCACATGCCACCCAGAGATGCCTTTGGCTGCAAATAACAAAAAACCCAATCTGAACCGGCAGCCACAAGAATGGAAATTCACTGGTACTGGAGCATGTGACGAAGCCCAGAGGAGGTAGGACTGGCTTTATTTATGGTTATTTGCAGTAGTTTAACAAAGTTATCAGTCGTCTCATGGTTTTCTCTCTCGGTTATGAATGTTGAATGTCTGCTTTGGTCTAAGGCTGGCACTCCCTCATGGTGGAGCTGCATGCCAGCTGGTGGAGAATCCCTGCTTTCCAGCCCTACAAGCAATCCTCCTGTGAGGTCACTCACTTGGCCCCCAAGAACCAACGTGTGTGGCTGGGAACGTATAGATTGCAGATTGACTTATACCAGGGCCGACCCCCACACCAGAGACTGGGCTAGCTTCCCCTAAAGCCCATGGGAAAGTGAGAGAGGGAAGAGTTTCCCAAAGCAAACTCAGTATTGTTAGAAAGAAGGTAGTCGCCAGGGAGACAATCAATGAGGATTCTTCTAAGGCAGTTGTCAGAATTGAAATGTGTAATTTATTTTAAAAAATGCCTTGAAAGGAAACAAAACCAGAAATTTCCTGAGCTGCTCATGGGAAAAACGATACATATATATACTGTATGTATGTGTGTGTGTATATATGTATATGTATGTGTATGTATATATATACTCTATAAATATGTATGTATACTGTATAGATACATATATACACACAAAGAGAGCGAGAAAGATTTAACTTTATGATTTCAGAAGTATTATACTGGGAATACTACCAAATGTGATGTTAACTTGGACACACTATAGTTAGAACTTCAGAGAATAGTACCAATGAATACTAATTAATAATTACACTTTTGTTGAATTGTTGAGCAATTATTCTGATTAGACACTGTACAATTCTTTACATTCCTGATTTCATTTTGTTTCTAAGCACTCCCATCGATGCCGATCTCTATGTTGTACTGTGATTACCACTGCACAGTGCACCGATAGAGAGGAAAAGCCTAGAGAGGGCAAGCGGCAAGCCCTGATTACTCAGCTGGGAAGGTTAGAATCCAGGACCTACCCAGCTCTGTCTGGCTCCTTACAGCACCCCCCAACTCTGCTTTGCACGGGTCCACAGGATTGACAATGTTAGAACTCAAGAGAACGTACAATTATTTACCTCCAGATTTTGAGGCACAGGACATAGAGGAAGCCCCTGCAATTTTGTGCAATACCACAGGTGCTATGTTTCTAGAGTTAGAAACTGTGGCTGCCATCAGACCCTTAAAGAGATTATGTCCCTGAAAATTTTAACAGTATTTTATTTAGTTCATATTTCTCATTTTAAACATGGACACCTGGAAGGACAGAGAGATTAGCTCGCTATATTAAGGCCTTACAAATTATTCATTCCATAAATGGACTCTGAAATACCTCTCATGCTGATCTGGGGTGGGGATTGAGGACACAGAATGGAGTGTGGTTCTGTCTTCACAGAGCTCAGGATTGAGTGCTGGGAGGAGACGTGTAGAGTGTGTCCTAAGGATATTCTCTAATGGGCTTGGTGGTCACTCCTGGAAGAACATACAGGTGTCTTCTTAGCAGCTTCTTCCCATCTCCTAGGAGCACTCGGTAGAAACTCTGTAACAGCCCTAAACATGCCCTCTCTTTTCTTTATCAGTCTTCTCAAAAGTAAATCGCGAACTCATCTTGTTTCATTTGTCTCAGAATTCTCAGTGCCTAGCGCAGGGCCTGGCTTGATAAACATGCCCTGAAAGACTGAGGAGACTCCTTAGCTTTGCCTTGAACCATAAAGAAGTAGCTGGTGAGAGAAGGCGTTTGTCAGAAGGCTGGGGGAGGTTGAGCTTAGAGGGTAAGTTCACGATAGAGCTAATGCTCTCATGGGTCTTCTCCCTTCCTATTCAGGGCCAGTGGGCTATGTCTACCTCTTCAGCAACAGAGAGCCAACTTGAATTTGCCTTAAGGGCCCTGTTATAAAGGCACTGGCCAAAGTGGGTTGGATCATCCATTCTCTTACCTTGTTTTCAGGCATCTTTATCATCCATTCTAGCTTTGACTACCCAGGGCAACTGCACAGGTTTCCAGGTGTGGAGGTTTTATCATAGGAATAATGATTTAAAAATTGAGCCCTGGGAAGCACCACCTGGATTCACATCCAGACTCTGCGCCACCCGCACTGGGTCAGCTTCCTTAGCTACCTGTACCTCACTTCCCTCATCTGTAAAAGATTCCTGTCTCATAAAGTCGTAGCAAGGCTTAGTGAGTTGATTAATGAAAAACGAGTAGCAAGGTACTTGGCTCACAGTAAGTACTCAGTAAATATTAACTGTTTTTATTGAATTTTACTGATTCTAGGAGGAATGGCTTAAACATAGTATGTCTTTAATAGTTGCTTTAATAAAGTTAAATAATAATAATTTTAAGCTGGGCGCGGTGGCTCACGCCTGTAATCCCAGCACTTCGGGAGGCCGAGGCAGGCGGATCACAAGGTCAGGAGATGGAGACCATCCTGGCTAACGTGATGAAACCCTGTCTCTACTAAAAATACAAAAAATTAGCCAGGCATTGTGGTGGGCGCCTGTAGTCCCAGCTACTTGGGAGGCTGAGGCAGGAGAATGGCGTGAACTTGGGAGGTGGAGCTTGCAGTGAGCCGAGATCACACCACTGCACTCCAGCCTGGGCAACAGCTAGACTCCATCTCAAAAAAAAAAAAAAAGAAAATAATAACAATAATAATAATAATTTTAAAGACTCTGCAAGGACCCTAATACCTTGGTATAAAACTGTAAAAGTATAAAGAAAATTGCAGAATTGCATTTAGTATGTGCAATGTAATGATGTTTCAAGGAATAAAATGAGAACTTCCTCTATACAAGGCACAGTGCTAGGTGCTGGGTATATGATAAATGAGGTGTTCTTCTAGAGTTGCAGACTCGGGAGAGACAGTAAACAGATTATTATACAGCAGGGGGCTGCAGTTTGGAGAAGAGGTAAGCACAGATGGGAAACCGATTATGGAGGTGGTGGTCAGGGGGCAAGGCTAGTCACAGCGAAGCAGCAAGCCCTGCACAAACATGTGTTGTCTCAGTGGAATTTATTATCCACAAGACTAGCCTTGCAGGAAAGCTTTTAGTAAAATCTTTAACATTCCTCACCCAAATTCTCACCAATCTTATTCTGTGTTTTATAGAAAAATGTAATTGTGGGGTCCAGTCATCTCTCAGTTAAGTGTTTTTAAATTTTGAGATATGCAGGGCTGCCAGGTGGCACTGGTGATCTGAATAAGAAACAGGGAAAGACTCAAGGGGCCACCTTCACTCTTATTTAGTCTGACTGCTCATCACTCAATCTGTTCCCTTCAATTCTGTTTCCTTTAAGGCATGGATTTGTAACCTGAAGCCAATTTGCCTAAGTTGAAAAGTCACAGGTCACAGTAATAATAACAACAGCTATCACTTCTTGAACAGGCAGTATGTGCCGGGCACAGTTAACTTTATCAGGATTCATGTCTAAATAATCTGATGATTTAAGTACTGTTCTTATTCCCATTTTGCAGACAAGAAAATTGAGGCATGGTGACATTGAAAACTTGCCTTAGGTCACAGTAGCTCCAGAATCTAAGCTCTCAAATCCCATTCTTATTGCTTCCACCTTACTCTCCTTTAGGCCAGAGCTCACCAGAAAGCAAAAGAATTCAAGCTCTCAGATACTCAAAATTCTGTGTAATGGGGACTTTGACGCGGGTTGCTTTTGGTTAAGGTTTAAAGGCTGGGAAGAAACGGCTCTGGGGTGGAGTCTGTCTTTTGGCATTTGTGATAATTTAAATCTGGCAGTTGATGACCTTGTCAAATAAATACCCATTTCCTATTTTAGGGGGTAGAGGAGAGGGAGCAATTGTGAAGGTGCCTAGAAAAAAAGGAATGCCTGGCATATGAAAGTTCCAGTCCTATCCTCATCCTCAATTTGTAAATTACAATTAACCTCTCCATTTCCTTTAAATTTAGAACATTCTTATGTGATAATGGAAAACACAAGACAATATACTCAATAAAGCAAAATCGTGAAGAACCCTGCCTTTGGAGTCAGATTCCACTTACCACCTAGGACACTTCCAACAAATTATATTTATATTATATTATAATGCTACATTTCTCAGAGGGTGGTTTTGTGTATTAAAATGAGATAATCCATGGTCAATGCTTAGCATAGTGCCTGGCATAGAGTTCATTGTTCCCACTGTGCTACCCCTTCCAGTTCTCTCTCGTAATGGTTATCCACCATTGCCACTATCATCACCACCACCATCATTGGCACCATCATCATCACCTTCATCACCACCATCACCACCACCATTACCACCATCACGATTACCACCACCATCACCACCACCACCACTACCACCACCACTATCATCACCACCACTGCCAGAACCATTACTACCATCACCATTACCACCACCAGCACTGCCAGTATCACTATTACCATCACCATCACCATTACCTCCATCACCACCATCACCACTACCACCATGACCATTATCACCACCACCAACAATGATGACACCATCACTACCACCACCATCACTACCATCACCATTACCACCACCAGCACTGCCACTATCACTATCTCCATCACCTCCATCACCACCACCACTATCACCACAACCATTATCCCACCACCACCACCATCACCATCACCATTACCTCCATCACCACCATCACCACTACCACCGTGACCATTATCACCACCACCAACAATGATGACACCATCACTACTACCACCATCACTACCATCACCATTACCACTACCAGCACTGCCACTATCACTATCTCCATCACCTCCATCACCACCACCACTATCACCACAACCATTATCCCACCACCACCACCATCATCACTGCCGCCACCATCACCATCATCATCACCTCTACCACCACCACCACCATCACCACCACCACCGCCATCATCATTAACGTTATGTCCACCACCACCATCAATACCACCACCACTGCCAAGCACTACCACCACCACCATAACTGCTGTCATCACCATTGTCATTTCACTGTCATCAATATGCTTACTTCCGACTGGGTGCCATCTGGCTTCCATTATACAAAGATTGTTACAGAGGGGCAGAAAGAATAATGGAAGGAGTCCCGTGTGACAACAGGAGACTTGGGTTTGATTGCAGGCACTGCCACCTGCAGCAGTGTCTCCTTGGACAAGGCAATACAACTTTCTGAGCTTTTTTCATTATGGAAATAGCGCAAATGCTTATATAATGTGCATTAATAAAATAAGGAGGAAGCGCTGGACTTCCTAGGGCATAAGTCTCCTCCCTGTGGGAGTGGAGCTGCCTGGCTAACCTCATGTCTGCAGATATCCTGGAGGACACAGCTGAAACCACAACAGATCCAGAAAATCCAGGGCCTCGGCATTCATGCAGGTTTATCAGATCAGCATGAATGGTCCAAGTGCTTATCCTGTTTCCTGAATTTACACAAGTAGCAGGAATGAAAACAGCTTGGAACATGTATATACATTTAATTTGGTAGCTGTTACTATTAATGGTGATTTCTATGCTACAGAGATTTCAAAAGAAGTCTTCTCTACATTGATATTGACTTACAATCGTTTCTCCCACTCAAGCCTGTGCCTTGAATGTGCTAACAACTCCCTCTATCCTTCTTCCGGTTTTCCTCTCTGGTTTCAGCTCCTTCAGAGATCACCTTTGCCATCGATGTTGGGAATGGTCCTGTAGAGCTTGTGGTCCAGTCTCCTTCTCTTCTGAATGACAACCAATGGCATTATGTCCGGGCTGAGAGGAACCTCAAGGAGACCTCCCTTCAGGTGGACAACCTTCCAAGGAGCACCCGGGAGACGTCAGAGGAGGGCCATTTTCGACTGCAGCTGAACAGCCAGTTGTTTGTAGGTAGGGGACATCTTAAGGCTCCCTTTGTGCTAAACCCCTACAATATCACTGTGTGACCATGCCCAAGAAAAATTTCTCTTTTATTTTAGATCTGGGATATGATTGAAATGTCGTAAATCATTTCTAATCGTGAATTTCATTCTACACATTCTTTTTTCTCTGGCTTCATTAGTTACATCAAGTTAAGATGATGCTAACCTTTAGCAAATACTGAGGTTGTCCAGATTCTATATATTTTCTTTTGGTAATATTGTCTTCAGATGTCCAGGGACCCATCATTGTAATATAAATCTACTCTAAGGGACAGGACATGCCACCTCTTTACACCTTAGTGAGTGTAGACTCTAAGTCATGGGCCGCCCTTCCAAGTGCTACCCCACTCCTGGTAACTATTGATATCCATGCAATGAGACAGTTGAGCTATTTCAAAGGCGTTTTTGTTATCAATAACATGGTTGGGAGAGGAATGATCCCTTTCTAAATCAGGGGCCTCTTCGATACTACCTGAACTCATAGCACTGGAGATCAACCTGCCACAGGTTGTTCATCTGAACTGGCAGCTGCCACTGGTGTGGGCCTGGAAACATCCGGGCATCCTTCTTTAGTCATTCCTCACTTCTTTCATTCCACTAATAGTCACTGAGTATCTACAACTGGTCAGGTATCTTGTTACTGGGAATGAAAGATGAATTGAGCACTACCACTGCTTTTCAAGGAGTTCATAATCCTCTGGTGTGTGTGTGCGTGTTTCACAGAGAAGACAGCATGGGGTTTGGGAAGTCTCTCTTCAGTGCTTGTGCCTTAACTACATTTAAGTTGGCATTTTGTTTCCCTTGTCATAATTCTAACATTTTGCTAAACATACGGGAGTGTGTGTGTGTGTGTGTGTGAGAGAGAGAGAGAGAGAGAGAGAGAGAGAGAGACAGATAAGAGAGAGAAACTAATATAAGGTCATCCTTATAGCTGTAGTTAAAAAAATTAGCATAGGTTGAGGAGGGCTTGCAAAGCTTTAAAATACAAAATCAAGCTCTGAAAGTTAAGAAATATTGTCAATACTACCAAAACCAAGAGTGTGTTTTTATATAAAACTCGCAGTTCAGATGTTTAGAACAGTGATGTAAATAAGTAACAGAATTTGTCAGTCTACCCAGATTTAACTCCGTTTCCTTTTTTGTTCATTTATTTTTTTGCCAGCTCCCACACTAATAGCTTTATTGCTAGTGATGAAATGCCATCAACACTCAATGGAAGTTTCTTATTTGCTTCCTTTAAATTGAGGTTTGTGCAACTTTTAACTCTAAGGAAAGCAGTCACTAAAATAACACCAGCTAAAAGAAAATAAGTAATAGAATGTGAGGATGTAATATTCTTTCTTCTCAATAGGAACCATATTTCTTTCTTCATCTGTCATGTTCCCCAGAGATATAAATGATTAAAACAGTTTTGTGATTTCAAGTCATTTGCTCAATTAATAACCCATATACGTGATATGATTCACTATTAAAATATTTTTAAATTTTATATTTCTGTTTTAATTTTATTTAAACATCACATTTTGATGGGTGACTTCTGAGGAAGGTTGCTCATCATCAAAATCTAATATATTTTTTGGTGGAATCAAGTCAGGTGTTTCACAATTTTCATAAATTATATTCCATGCCAACGTTTAATTTATCTTCAGGCAGTATTTATCAGTCTTTCTGGCTGAAAGGTATATATAAAGATGGAAATAATTTTTTTACCCTTTCATGCAAATTTTATGTAGCTACGAAATTATCGTATGGACTGGATATGTGATAAAGTTTGTGCAAGTCCAAAGGGAAAGGCGACAGCTGTATTTCATGGCAGATTTCTATCTGCAGACGTTTTGGTTACATTGATCACAAATGCAATGAGCTGTAATAGCATGTCGATGGGTCTGGAGGAGATATCTTGCTGGAGCTGGAGCCAAGGTCAGCTGTGGCAAGAGCACCTGCTTCTGCTATGTTTCTCTCCAATAAATCCCATCTCAGATGTTACTCTGCTTTATTGAATTTGTCTTAATGTACTTGAAGAAGAAAAAAATGCTGTTGGAGGTCACTTTAATGGTCTTTCAGTTTGAATTTTCCTATTTAGAGTTCAGTGATATACCCATTTAGAAATGTCAGGTAGCCAACAAAGCTGAAGTCTCAACATTTCCATCTTGCACAATTCGATTGTTCAACAAATATATAGATAAATAAATGAGGTCTGCTTAGTTATAGTCACCAAAATGAACAATTGGATTCTCTATTATTCAGAAATTGAGAGGCCCTGGATATTTATATTTGCTAGGCAGGAAAAGATATCGTTGGCATGTGCTTCTTTACTGGAATAGATTGAGTGTCGCATTACTTAAATATTAATTTGGATATGTCTGTCTAGATATCTTTGGCCACTGAAGGATCTTTCAATCAACATGGAGCATCCTTCAGCATTGTAATCACTGGCACAGCTGCCGTGCTCATGAGTGTTTCCTGAGTACCAGAAACAGGCTGCGTTTTTAGAATAGGATGTTCCTCTCAGCACTGCCCCTGTCATTGGAATGTGACAGGTTGAAGTACTGATACATGAGTCAATGCATGCTGGATTTCCAGAATCAATATTTTAACTTCAGGCTGTTATATCACCCTGATGGTTAGGGACATTTGCAACCATGCCATTTCACCAGTCACATTTCTTTAACAGAGCAGGAGACTCTTCATAACATGCAGCTTCTGAAATGTAAACTGCAAGCGTGTGGCATTCTCACCTTTGGAACGGTCCATAGTACCACCCCTTCTGCTTTGTTATTGCCCACTAATGTGTCCATCAATATGAGGATGAGGCAAGAAAAATCTAAGATCCAGTGGAGAGATCTGAGTATGCATTCCTGGTCAGATGCCTAAAGCCATAGGCCCTGGGTAGAAAAATAACTAGCATGAGTGTACTATTGTCTTTATCTGCTGAATGAAAATGAAGAGACTGTAACTGATCTTCTAAGGCGTGAAGATCTGCTCTCTGCATGGATAAATTAGGAACAACAGTCACACCTACCATCATGCCCATGTGTATGTAACAACAAAGAAAATGTCTCATTCCCTCCAAACCTAACACAAGATCTTTCGAAATATGCTGCAATTACAGAGTGGACATTGTGTGAAGATGGGGGCCTGTGAGTTTCATTTTATGACTTTATTTCCTTCTACTTTTTATTTTTCCCATGGGCTTATTTTTTTGTTTCTTGACCCAACTGCTCTCTTTGTGTCAAAATAAACTGAAGCTACTCCAAGCTTACAATCCCCTAGGGAAACTACTACACTGACTTGATAAATCATAACATTTGGAGAGATCCCCCCAAATTGCTGTTCTTGCTTCCAGGCTGGTAGGGAATTATTATTCCTATTTTCAGGTGAAGCGTGTCAAACTCAGTGGGGTCAAGGGTGAAGCCAGGCAGTCCTGGTGTGCACATGTTAATTTGCACTGGTGCTCTGGCACTTCTGAAACTCTTGATTTGTGGTATAATGCAACACATACAGAACTGGCCCCAGTCTCCTCTTGGAATAGTGACTTATATTTTACGCTCGTGAGTGCCTCATGAAGATAGCCGTCCTGAAGCATGCCTGTAGTGGTTTCCATTAGACATGATGTCATATGTCTCACAGTCTAGGAAGCGATCTATATGCTCTTCACATTGAGAAATAATTGGAAAAGTAACTGTTAGCATATTTTTACATAAAGCTATTGTGCGTGGAGAATAATAATTATCATGATGTCAATGGTGAGACAAAAAGTGAAGAAACAATTGTCTTTTTAACATTATATAAATCTCTGATTACGTCTACCTATTCCCCATAAAAGTCTATTTTTTTCAAAGTCAAATAATATATTAAGTATACTTAAATTCTTTTTTAGGAAAAATTAAGATATGACTTTTGATGTCCCCTTAACAATTACATAAGAGAAATTGTTCTGGTTGGTTTAAGAAGATGGTAAGAGACCTCTGAGCGAGGCTAGCAGGCAGGTCCTGGGACTGCCTCAGTAGCTGCATAAGAAACACTAGAAGAACACCCAGTGGCCACTCAAAAATGCTTATGTAGTGGATAAAAAAAAAAAAAAAAAAAGGTGAAGAACATCTGGGTTTGTCCCTAACACCAGTGCTTCACAAAATCAGGTTCTTGTAGCTTGAAAATGTTTGAAAAAACATTGGTTCTGTTTTTATATTTAGGAAAAGTGAACAATTAAATCACCCTTTCAGCAAAATTTTGTCTCTTCTTGAAGATGTTGAGAATTGGAAACATTTAACAATTCCCAACACCCATTTTAGTGTTTTCTACCCGCTACTATATATATTTTTTTGAAACAGGGTCTCTCTGTCGCCCAGGCTGGAGTGCAGTGGCACTATCTCTAGCTCTCAGCTCACTGAAACCCCTGCTTCCTGGGTTCCAGCAATTCTCTTTTCTCAGCCTCCCAGGTAGCTGGAGTTACAGGTTCACGCTGCCATATCTGGCTAATTTTTGTATTTTTAACAGAGACAGGGTTTCACCTTGTTGCCCAGGCTGGTCTCCAACTGCTGGGCTCGAGCAGTCTGCCCACCTCAGCTGCCCAGATTGCTCCCTACTATTTAAGACACATTTTTGAAACACTTATCTACAGCTTCTTCTGCTTTAATTGAGCTCATTTTGTCATCTTGTGGTCTCTGTTGGATTGACAATGGACAATTGAAGCAGAATGGAGAGGAGTGTGTTTGTGCGTGTGTGTGTGTGTGTGTGTGTGCTTGTGTGTATGTCAGGACTCATACTGTCTTTTTTAATTTTTTTTTTTATTTTTACTTTAAGTTCTAGGGTACATGTGCACAACGTTCAGGTTTGTTACATGTGTGTACATGTGCCACGTTGGTGTGCTGCACCCATTAACTCATCATTTACACTAGGTATATCTCCTGCAGCATGGTATTGTCTTCTCAGGCAGCCCAGAAAGAGAAGTCTCGAGCTTCAGACCTC